CACCGACAACACAAGTGAAATGCATACTGCCTTCCTGGGAAGGATGCTTCCGAGAGCACTGGATGGGAAGTGTGAGAACAGTTTAGCTCTCCAACCGGTGGCCTTTTCTGTGATGTGAATAGAATTGAGGTGTCTCTTTAGGGCAGGTCACGTGTGATTGAGGCAATGCGGCAGACACTGCCAGCTGGTTACTGACATTTACTTCCTGTTCCAGGGGAACAGCCCATCTAGTTTGCAGCCTCCGTGCAGATGGGTGTGATGAAGCCACCAAGTTCTAGCCAGAGCAAAGGGAGCAGGACCGTCCCAGTCCCAGGCCAGGCCCACGACTGCCCAGGGTGCTCTTCCATGCTCTTCTCCCTCCAGGTGACTGAGCTGGTGACACCCAGGGTTATGGGGAAGAAGGTGGGAGAGTTGCTGTCCGCCTGGGTCTCGGGGTGACTGCGTGGAGCACAGTCCCGTTGACAGGAACTGGGTCAGGATGGGGGGTGGGGGGTATGACCTGCAGTTCACACCACCTGGGCACTGCAGGCACTGACACCGCCATTCTAACAAAAGCCTGACACTTAGAATGACCGAGTACTGCCGTGGCCAGTGGCTGTTAGCTGGAGCGTCATCCGTACACCAAATAAGGTTGTGGCTCCAATCCCGGGTCGGGCACATATGGGAAGCAATGGATCAATGTTTCCCTCTCACATCGATGTTTCTCTCTCTCTTGACCTTCCTCTCTCTAAAAGAATCAATACATTACAAAGAAATAAGAAAATAATCAAGTATTGTGCAAAACCAGTTGCACTCATTCCTCTGTGACCCTCATCGCTGAGCCTAAAAAAGAGGTGCCAACCCTCGCTGTAAGGGGAGCACATGCGACCGGTCGCTAAGCTGGTGAGTGACTGCAGCTGGCCGCCCAGCGAGGAATCTGCATCCGGGACAGACCGTACACGTGTGACCAAACATCTCCGTCACTTAGTTACATGCTGATTTCCTACAAGCCCACCTAAAAAAGTCAAGTTGTCCTAACACAGTTTACATTCATTTCCCAGCAGTCTGTGCTTAGTCATCCCGGCCCCTGCAGGAGTGTGCTTGGTGTCTGACACACAGTAAGTGCTTAGCACACGCTTCTCAGGTATCGCGTAGATAGGAACAAAACAAAGGGAGGCTCCACTGTTTCAGTCTTCCTGTGACATTTATGACGACTTCTGGCATCACCCACGTGACACACGAGAACAGTTTTTATTCTGGGCAATCATACTTGTATGCCATCCCATCAAATAAAACATCATGAGTCGAGGCACATTCAGCCCGAAGATGAAGTGATACATTAGCTTCTTGATCGGGTGCCAGGGCTCAGAGAGGAATATGAAACAGACATCGATAATTACAGCTTGCACTGGAGCTGCTGGTGTCTAACCCTCTAAGTTCGATGAACAAGTAATAACTGGACAGACACACCCTTCAGAAATTAGAGGTGGGAAAAGATTACCTCATTCCATACCTGTCACCGACCGGGCCCCTGCAGCAAGTCAGCCAGAGGCAGCCAGCCATGGCGCAGGAGGGGTGGACCGGGCTTCCAGGATGATCCAGGAGGGTCCGGGGGCGGGGGGCGGGGGCCGAGGCTCCTCTCGGGTCCGACCCTCCCTTCCCTTCATTCCTTCGGTTCTGTGCCGCCTTAAGAAACCCCGTCTAGGCACAAAGGCACATACCTAATGTAAAAATGGATTGCTTCCCTTATTTAAATCTAAAAAGCGGTTGCTAATACTATCAGACAATCAGATGTCATTTTACAAGCACATCTGAACACCGCATGCGCCATGGCCTTTAATGGGCGTTCCCCTCCAAAGCCTGCGGTTACGTCCAGGGTCAAGGTCGCAAAAGCCGTGCGGAGGAAGCTCCTGACGGAGCCGGGGTACTTGAAGGAATTCTAGCAAAATGAACACATACCGCCAGAATTCTCACCAGGAACAGGAAATACATTTGTTGGAGGCGCCAAATGTTCCTTAACACGAGAGCACAATGGTTTGGCTCGTTTCTAAGGTTCTTCCTGGCAAACTTGATCTATTTGCTGGCTGCCACGTGCTCGCCGGGAGTCAAGAATCCCGTCCCCAGAAGCCTCTGTGCGGATGGCAGCTGCAACACTGCCAACGTGTGGGACCTGTTTTCCTTTGAAGGTGAGGAGTGTGGAGGTTGGATAAAATAGTAAAGACTGGAGAATGCAGCTCTGCTCATTTTACCAAAATCTAGAGCATCCCAGCCTCAGCCATGGAAAATGGGTCATGTCTTATGTCTCAGTGAACTACAGAGGTCAGTAATAGATATACATTCGCAAGATAATCTTCTCATAGTTCACTGACATTTACTCTAACATAGATTTGCTTTCTAGCAGAAAATTTCTCACTCATTTAAATCTGAAAACCTGGACAGATGTTCTGACTACTTCATAATAAAGATTAGTTCAGTGGTTCTCAACCTTGGCTGCACATTAGAATCACCTGGGAATCTTTTTAAAATCCTGATTTCTGGGCCTCATCCTCCGGAAATTCTGTTTCTTTGTTATTAATGTTGTGGCCCCACCCCATAACAAAGAAACAGAATTCCCGGAGGATGAGGCCCAGAAATCAGGATTTTAAAAAGATTCCCAGGTGATTCTAATGTGCAGCCACGGCTGAGAATCACTGGACTAGTTCCTTGAAATGCAGGGCCCCGGTTTTTGAATGCCTCAGGCTTTTCGAAGTACTTAAGATCCATTACCTCGTTAGAAGGCACCAATGCCACACCCAGCAATCTACATGGGGTTTTGGAAAAAGCTTTTCATGTACATATTTTGTCCAAATATTACTATTTGCCTCAGGAAAGTCAGAGCGAAGACTTTAGCAGAGTGTAAATTTTAAGCCAATGAATAAACAGTTGGCTTGAAAAACTATTAAACGGCCATGAAAAGCATTTACTGCTCTGCCAGATACTAAAAATAAAGGCGGCTTCGGCAGACACGGGAGAGCTGGACTGTTTCAGTTGGTTCTGGGCTGGACCACTAGGCTTCACGCAGTTATTTTTCCAAAATGGAGTCCAACAAACATCACGTGGTTTCCCTAAACTTACTTCTCAAAAAAAGACAACACAATTGGAATCTTATTTCAATATCAACCTCAGTTATTGAAATATTTGAAAGATAACATTCTAGACAAAAGGTATCAGAGAAATCAGTAAGATCTGAAATGGGAGGTTCCAGGCTGTGGCTCCAAGTTCTGATAACATTTTATTCCTGTCCTTGGCCTGCCCCTCCCTGAGCTCATAAAAAAAAAAAAAGTGTTTAAAATATGGAGTCTGCGATTTATGATCAGTTGCAGAAACCTGTTTAACTGCTGATTTATAGTCCTGGCCACGGCATTTAGCTCTGTCATCAGAACTAATTATAGCAAACCTGAGATTACACATTCAGCTCTCCTGCCGGTGAAAGAAGGGACTGTTCTGCTGAACATCCCGAGGGCTCCCACACAGGAACGCGCTCCCAACTACACCCTCAGAACCAGCGCTGCAAAGCTCAAAATTACTGCTCTTCAGCGAGTTGTTTTAGCCCGAAGTACTTAATAAATCAGCTACGTTACTGCTGTCCTGGCGGCCTGAAGCGTACTCATCTCCGTTAACGACTGACAGTTACGTTGCTAACCTGACTCCGGCGTTCCAGGGGTAGTAACGGCACATGTCCGAGCCCAGGAACTGATGTCACTGATCCAGAAAGAGCCCTTGTTTTGCTGTGACCAGATGAAGAGGACAAATGACCCCACGTTTTAGGCAACATGGGTTCTCGAAGAACAATGTTCCCATTTCATCGCTTCAGTGAGTAAAATGTCTAATTCAAACTAAGGTGATAAAGTAAATCGGGATCCAAATGACGTGCCAGCAGGGCGAACCCAAGACAACAGTCCCTTCCTTTCCCTTAAGCCCTTCCCTGCCACCCCACCGCTTCAGCTGTACCATGATTGGAGCTTTTCAAGACCCAGGCCCCCAGAGTGGGCCTTTCTGAACCGCAGCGCCCTCAGTTCACGCCTCCATCGCTGTGTCTGATGTTGCCATAAGGCCTCCAATCCAAATCCAGTTCAGATGCCCCACCCAGGTTAGACAGTGGGGCGGAGTGGCAGCACTGGCAGTGGGACCGGCTGAGGACAGGCTCCCAATCAGAAGACCCCGAGGCGGCCACCTGGCAAGGCCTCCACAGGGAGCAGACGGGTGAGACTCCTGCAGGAAGCGGGTGCGGGAAGAGAACAATGCCGTCTGGGAGTCCTGGGTGTGAGAAGTCTGTACCAGCCCTGCTCAAGCGCACTTTCAATGTTTCAGGCAAAACCACTGGATTGTGCGGTCGATATTTTTTTTTAAAGGCAAGGTTCCTATGCTATAAGCTTATATTCACCTATTAGGATTTTAAAATGAGATGTTATAGGTAAGCAGTATATGACTATCTACAAAGTGCAATAGGTGATATTAAATCACAAAATACAAGAGTTTCCAATATTTGGTCTTGGACAACCTTTCATGATCAATTCTATAAATGAACAATCTCCTAAAATCCTGCTTTCTTAATACAGGCTTTTCTCACCTAAGTGGAAGCAAGATATGATTTTGTCCTCTTAAATTGCAACTTACTTACTCCAGAATATAGGTAAAACATTGAATATGACAACAATAAATTAGTGAAATTTTGTTACTACTGTAAATCTAAAAATAACAATAATAGAATTATGTTCCTAAATGTATACCATCAAACCAGAGGAAGTGTGCAGCTCTGTATCCCTACCGAGCCCCGAGGAGGGAGGCACCACAATACCAGAGGCCTGCCAGGCTCCAAACCTCCAGCTGTGGTCGTGTCAACAGCTGGCCCTGCTAGGGAGGACTCTGACACACACACAATGAAGTCTACTTCCCATGCACCAATCCTCTTTCAGCTCATTAATGCACCCACCTTTTAAGGAAAACTGGGGGAGAGGAGTAAGAACAATCCAACCACGTTCTTAGAAGGTTCCAAGTTATATTGTCTTGAGTTATAACATTCTAATGTAATTATACCATTTTCGCTTCTAGGAATCATCTCATAATGTAAGGAATGACATGGCTGGGCTGAGATATTTAGGAAGACATTTCCAGCAAGAGCTGAATTTCAATCGTCCTCCAAACACTACATGCTGTCTTTGTTTTATTGAGATATTTTATCTGAAGGCACTAAAACCAACCAATTGCTTCTATTATGTTACTGTCAAGTATCAACTCCACTGCACCCAATAAAGAACCAATCATTACTCTTAAAACAGTAAGATGAAGTCATTTGTAGAGACTATCAGTGGAGACTTTCTTACACTTATGACAAATCCATTATACACAAAAATGCCAATCTTGAAAACACAATTCCAGAATGAGTCCAGTTCCACTGAGGGCAGATGACAAAGTACAAGGAGCTTAACGGCTATGCTATACCAAACGGATGAAAAGTGCAGTCGATTACACTGCAGGTCTCTGTAAGTAAGTAGATAAAGCCGATCCTTCCCTGTGCGAGCACTCAGACTCCTGCACCAACAGAGCCCTCCGTCCCATTCACCTCAATGGGCTGAACGCCTTAGAAAAGGACTGATGGTCACCCTCCAAGTGTTATGCTTATTTTTTCCTTCTTCTATCCGTTTCCTGACATCTTTAACATAAGCAGGGATGTCTTCAGTCTTTTGAGCAACTGAAGACTTAGGAACAGACACACTGTCTTGAACTCTGGCAAGTTACATGTAGCCCATGTTGCTTTTGGTTTCCCATCGCTTCTTTGCTTCAAATCTAAAAGGAAGAACATAAACATCTCCATTTATTTCTAAAATATGTCACTAAAGTAACATGTTCACTACGTGCCAAAGTAAACTAAGCTTAAACGTTCACATACTCCGCTGATTACAAAACACTCATCACACAGGATGAAGAAACGCCTCCTCATTTACAATCTGACACACATCAGCACGCGTCCGAAGAAGACAACGAGTAGCAATTACACACACACCGGACCCCGAAAGCGTGTCACAGGATGTGTCCATTTCTAGGAAGCCGGTGGCGTCACCACCAAAAGCCGTACACTTACCCCCACGCAAGTTTCTTCTTTTTTCGAGCAGCCTGTGAATTTTCAGCTTCCTTTTTGGCTTTTACAAATTTATGGCAGGCAATCGCTTTGGCAATTTTTACACCAAGCTAAGAATTAGAAAGAAGAAAAAGAAAATGAAGAGTGAAAATAAAATATTCCAGCTAATATGAGACTGCAAACACTTGAGAACTTGAGGGTAAGAAAGCTGTGCCCAGAAATGAGAAACCCTTATGCTCCGGACGCCTTGAGCAACCAACTTAGGGCTGCACTGAGGTGGCCCACTGCCTCCCAGAGAACCCGCACTGGCCCGTCTCCTGGGGGGAAATGCTTCCCAAACTGAGGCCCCTCGAGGGCCCACAAAGGTTGTGGTGAAGATCCGCAGCGATCTCAGCAAACAGGAGGCCAAACAGTTTACCCGATGAGACTGCACAGACTGACAGACACCGCGTGTCTTCGCTATGGGCCAGAATGACAGCCACTCGGCATGGCCACACCAGCTACCTCACGCTGACCAGAAGCTCTGACTGGCAGTCAGAGATGTCATTAATAAAACCTGAGAAAGCGAATGACCCACTTGTATGAGGGGCAACAGCTTTTAATGCACTGACAGGTGCAAAGGCTGAGCACCAGGACCACAGGACCGAAGTCTTCCCTCCGCTGGTCCCTCAGTGCACAGTCCTCCGCACACCCATCTGCCAGGCCTATAAGGTCCAATCAAAATGAAACCTCCTGCATGGCTGGCATGGCTGTTGTTGAGCCTCGACCTATGAACCAGGAGGTTACTGTTCGATTCCTGGTCAGGGCTCATGCCTAGGTTGTGGGCTCAATTCCCAGTAGGGGCCTGTAGGAGGCAGTCGATCAACAATTCTCTCTCACTGTTGAAGTTTCTTTCTCTCTCTCTCTCTCTCTCTCTCTCTCTCTCTCTCTCTCTCTCTCTCTCTCTCTCTCTTCCCCTCTCCCTTCCTCTTTGAAATCAATTAAAAAATACATATATTTTAAGAAAATGAAACCTCCTCCTCTCCCACGCTGTCTTCTCTAACTCAGCCACCAGGCTTTGCTGCTGCCGCTCCAGCTCTTAGCGACTACAGCCACCACACTGCTTTCCCAGCTCTGCTGCAGGGCCGCCTCCGGGGGTGTCTCCAGGACAAGCGGGATCCAGTCCGAGCTAACAGGGCCTGTCTATGTGGGCGGCTCCAGGACAAGCGGGATCCAGTCCGAGCTAACAGGGCCTGTCTATGTGGGCGGCTCCAGGACAAGCGGGATCCAGTCCGAGCTAACAGGGCCTGTCTATGTGGGCGGCTCCAGGACAAGCGGGATCCAGTCCGAGCTAACAGGGCCTGTCTATGTGGGCGGCTCCAACGCGTCTGTAAGAGCCCAGGCTAAACCACCAAGGCGCAAACTCTGGTGTTTCTTACCTTTCCTATCCCTGGACTCAACGACCTATGCCTACGAGTGGACAGCAGACTTAACATGTTAAGCCCCCAAGTCCGTCACTGGTGACCGACACTATACGTTCCGTCCAGAAGACAGAACAGGCTGGGCGCTTAACGTGCTAAGCAAGAGCAGAAAGGACTGGCCGCCACTTAAAGTCAACTACAGAAGCCCAAGCGTTAGGGATCTGTTTGCCAATGAGACGCAGTGGGTGGCTCAGAGCACATGTGTAAGCAGAGAGGCCGGTTCAGCACTGAGGTCTGGCAAGCCTGACATTTATTTCTTCCAGTTGATCCTGGAGAAGTTCCTTTGGGTGAAATGAAGGAGTAGGAATCAAGCCTGCCTGGGGTTTCTAAATCAGAGCAAAACTAGATCTGATTTTTCAGTCGAGGAAAGTCTATAGGAAGAATGAAAACAACAGAAGCAACCTGACAGGTGCGGAAGTGGTCACACCAACAGGAAGGTCAAGGAAGAAAAGATCCAGTGTGACTTGAGAGCCCGCGGGTGAAGGCAGACCAGTTTCTTCTCAAAATTCAAACGAGCATTAGCGGCGCCAAGACTGCCGCCATCCCCTTCCCACGAGGATGACATGCTTTTGACAATTATAAGGGCACAGATGCATCATTCTGCCAGGCACTGCTCTCGGCACAGGAGCTACAGCCCTGGACAAAAGGATTCATTTTCACATTGTGGGCCTGGGAGAGGGGTTGCCAGGAACACTGCTTCAAGACTGGGCCTGTTCTCGATTCTCTCTTCACTTCCAGTTCTTTATCGCAGAAAAGTTCATCTAAGTCAACTAAAGAAGGCTAGGAATCGAAGGGCTGTCGCACATCCCCAAAGAGGAAATGGAGCTCTGAGGGATGCTGTGGGATGATCTATCAGGATTTCCTATCCATGAAAAACTACCCGTTTACCATAGTGAAAAAGCAGGCTAGCACCTGTCAGGTTAGGCTAGCCAATGCTGCAGTATCAAACGAATCCCCATCCCACTGGCTGAACTTTTCTTTCTCATTTCACTTAAAAGTCAGCAGACGGGCAGGGCTCTCCTCCATCTTGTGGTGCCAGCGTCTCAGCATGTGGCTTCCGAGCCGAGTTCACTGTGGCAGAGAAGAGCCGGCCAGAGGGTCTCACCCTGGCTCCCAAAAGCTTAAGTCCTCCAGAAGTGACACACGCCATTTCTGCGCCCAGTCCTCTGGTCAGAGCTGCTCGTACGGCTGGGAGTGCAGGAGAGCAGTAAGTGCACTTAGTAACAGCCTGCCGTCATAAACGCAGCTCGCTCCCTATGACTGAGATGTACTCTGGGCTCTCTACATTCACCAAAGGCTAAAACACAGAACTCCGTATTTTTCTACTTAACTATATTCCTATGCATTATCTATCAAATGTAAATTTTGCCAAGTAAACTCCCCAACAAAAGTGCCACTCAGCTAGTTTACCTTGTATTTAAATTGAGATTGTACGTTTTGAGAATGAAAAAAAAATGACCCAAAACATATTTGCATGTACCATTAACCATGTGACCAAGTTATTTTCTAAAACTGTTATATCAATGTTGTGTACCTTCATGTGCTTAAAATAAATGCTTCCCTTATTCTTGCAGAGACTATGAAGAGTGGGAATATGTGGACGGGAGGAAGAATAACAAGATCTTCTGGGGAAGAGAGTTGAAAGGAAGCTCATTTCCCAGGCAGGTTGACTAACCCGAGTTCCAGAAGATAAAGGAATATCATGCTATGTTTCAGTATTACAAACAAATAATACAGGCCAACAGGAATCCCCCTTCCCGTCTGTAAAAAGGAAAATGCATCTTCATACCCAAGTAAACATCACAAAAGCTTGGTCAATAGTTTTTATATTAAAAAACGGTTTCGGGTCATCAGATAACCATAGCAACACAGTGTGGGAAGAAAAAAATTTCTAATGAATAAAAATCCATACAGAATTTCTTGTATGTGTAGCCAAAGTATCAGCATTTTCCATATAGAACATCCAATATTTTGCTGCATTTTAATTAAGGTGTCTAAACATTATCACAAAGAACTGCAAATTGGTCAGAGCAAGCGGTAAGGAAAATTAAGCTCTAAAGGCTTTTTATCACCATATTTCAGGAACCAAGGGTGTAAAATGTTCTAATTTGGGATATATTAAAAGCCATAAAAGGTCTTTCAAAAAGATTAATGGTACTTTGCTTGGATTTAAGATAAGGGCTTTAGCTGGTTGGAAAAGCAGGGCCCTGGCTGGACCCTTGAGGCATTCATCTTTACAGCCACTTGGAAGATTTGTAAAAGCGTCTGCATAACCTCAAGCAAATGCTCCGCGACATTTTTTTAATTCCTTTCAATTTTACAGGTTTAGCATGTGTAAATCATACTGGGTTGTAAAATAGATATAATGGCACATCTTGTAACATAGTCGAGATTTTTAAAAGACAAACTTTCACCATCAAGTTAAGTTTTTCTTGCTAAACCTTGCCATTCTAGAGTTTGCTGATAATCATTTGAAGCATCTGATTCAAACAGCTTAATCTAACCCAACTGTAAAAACTTCTTATCCATTCCATAAAGTATTTTACTCATCTCAAAATTACCAGCCTGTAACAGATTTATAAAGTTTTCCTCCCTTTTGGATACTTTCAAGGCACTTATTTAAAAATACCAATTATCATACTTTACCTTTTTATGAAATAATAGGTCTCTATGAAAAATATTTATGCCATTCTCTTTTGTTCTTTAATTAAATGAAAACAGATGTTTTCTGAAGTAAAGCGGAACCATTACTGGAGTACTTAAAGTGTCAAGGTCTTTAATTTTTATATCAGTTTGGTCGACAATTCCTGATTGTCTTTACTCAAGCTCAACATTAATGTCAAGCAAGTTACCTAGGAGACGAAAGAGATCAAAGAGACAAAAACCCCTCCAATGTCTGATTAATCAAGTCTGCAAACAGCTTATTTCTTTTAGCCTGCATGCAAGTATGAAAATGAGATTCTGGGAGCCGAACACTGTGCAGATTTGTTCATTCTTATCAGAACAAAGCCAGCGGCAGCTTATTTCATGGATCATTGGCACTGTCATCAGCGCTACACAGAACGGGTGACAGCTCCTCATTTTGAGGCTTGAACAAAATTAGCAAAAAGTCGGCACAAATTAGCCTCTCATCTTTTTGGTAATATGACATTATTCATTTACTTTTTATCCAATTTTTAATTTTTTCCTTGTCAGCTATCCCTTTCTAGTCTCTTCCATGGCATCCTAAAATGCCGCCTTCTAAACAAGCAGAGAAACAGCCAAAGTTGAAATAACATGCAAAGTTCAAAAAGCAAGTAAGGGGGGAAAAGCACTTCCAATGATTTATAACGCTTTGTTTTTTATATAGCTTTCAAAACTTTGCACTAATATTGATAAACAGCTCAGAACGCCATGCAGTTGAAGAGTTTTAGAAAACTGGTAGTTCATTTCAATAAAGATGATGACGTGCTAATTAAATACGGTGTGTGCGTCGGTAAATTCTGGATGTCTGCATCGGGATTGGTACTGCCCTCTCCAGGGTCATACCTGGGATGCTGGGGCTCTGGTAACAGCACACAGGCTACACCATAGCTAGTCATTTAAACTCAGACTTTAAATCAAATCATTTCCTCTCTATTCAGAAAATAGCCTCATTTCATTGTCATCTA